GAATTCTGCTTCTCTCTGCTGCCAGGGAGCCATTTCTGATGGGAGGGGGACTTCAGTGGTGGCATTTGACCGGTTCTGGAGAGCCGGTAGCGGCAATGAGCAGCAGAGACGGAACCAGTTCTCTCCACTGCTCTGTGTTTGGCCCACCTGCCCGCCCGGCCTCCCATACTCACTTTTATGGCCAGAATTCGAAGAGCAGCTGCTTTGCGCAGCGCAGAACAGCGCCGCGTGGCACCTGCTGCAGCAACCGGCATCGTGCAGGCTTGCAGGAGGCGAGTTAGAATGCCTCTGTGCCTGCGCAAATTGCATGTTTGGCTTGTATCAGCCCAGAACTGATACGAGTCTCTCCACTGTTCCTTCCAGCCGGGAGAGTGAGAGAGCCTCTCTCCTGGCAGAGCAAAAAGCTTGCAAGTCCCTTTCCCTTCGGGAAACAACTCCTGGGCAACAGAGAGAAACTATTCAGGTGACCCTGAGGACACAGTGGCCTCAACAACTCGCTACAAGGATGCAAATGACTAGCTGCCTGCAAGGAATATAAATCCTTCCATTCCCACTATCCTGTCAGAGCTGAAGAAGCTTCTTAGATGAGAAGCAAAACATCTTCAAAGAAGAAAAACAAGAAAATCCAGTTGCCTCCTGAAAAAAACAACTTTGGGACCACCATGATCTGGATGACTAAGAATCTCTATAGACTTTCAACATATATAACGATAAATAACAAGAAAAAAAAATCAAGGAAACAGTCAGTCCACTAAAGAAAGAAGATGGCAAAGTAGTAACAGGCAACAGAGAGGAAGCAGAGTTGCTTAATTCATTCTTTGCATCAGTCTTCACACAAAAAGAAACTATAATCCAACCTACCAAAATCATAACTGTAAAAGAGACTAGAAATAAAAATTAAAATAAGTAAGAAAATGGTAAGTGAATAACTCCTTGATGAATATAAATCACCAGGACCTGATGGATTACATCCCAGAGTTATGAAGGAACTGGCAGATGTTACCTCAGAACCATGGGAGGATTGGAAAAGGGTTGATGTGGTTCCCAGTTTTTAAAAAGGGGGGGGGGAACCAGATCCAGGAAATTACAGACAAATCAGCCTACCATCAATACTTGGGAAGATCCTGGAAAAGATAATAAATAACAGATCTGTGAACATCTAGAAATAAATAGTTATAATTAGTAGCCAGCATGGGTTTGTTAAAAACAGATCATGCCAAACCAATCTCACAGTTCTTTGACAAAGTGACTAAATTAGTAGACCAGCGAAATGCCTTGGATATAGTATATTTAGACTTCAGCAAGGCATTTGCCAAATAAAACCACAACCTACTTCTTGGTAAGCTAGAAAAATGAGGGATAGACAGCGTCACCATCAGATGGATTCGGAACTGGCTGACAAACCGTACTCAATAGTAGTCCTTAATGGTACTAATCTAATGGGGGGAAGTAAGCAGTGGGGTACCACAAGATTCCTCCTTAGGCCCAGTACTTTCAATATCTTCATAAATGACTTAGATGAGAGAATAGAAGAGGAACTCATCAAATTTGCAGATGACATTAACCTGGCAGGAATAGCCAACACCCCAAAAGACAACCTCAGGATCCAAAAAGATCTTGACAGACTTGAACAATGGGCCCTATCCAACAAAATGAAATTTAATGTGGAGAAAAGCAAGATTTTATACCTGGACAAGGAAAAATCAAAAATATAAGTACAGATTAGGCGAAACCTGGCTCAAACACAGTAATTGTGAGAGGGCCCTTGGAGTCCTAGTGGATGATCACTTAAACATGAATCAGCAGCATGCAACGGCAACCAAAATGGCTAATAAAATCCTTGGTTGTATAAACAGGCATAGAATCAAAATCATGTGAAGCATTAGTACTGCTTTACTAGCAGGTTGAGGCCTGGGATAATAGATAGTTTACATGAAGGACATCTGGGTATTGCCAGAGTGAAGGCACTGGCAAGGAGTTATGTCTGGTGGCCAGGCATAGACGCAGATATAACTACTAAGGTCAGGGCATGCCAGGCATGTCAACTATTGAGGCCTGCCCCACCAGCTGCCAATCCAGGGGAATGGGAATCGGCTAAGTCCCCATGGTCACGAGTCCACATAGATTTGGCGGGCCCTTTCCACGGCCACATATTTTTAATTGTAGTGGACTCTTATTCCAAATGGGTTGAGTTGTCCCTCATGCATTTTACTACTTCGACAGCTGTCATAAAAGCGTTAGACCGTTTGTTTGCAACTCATGGTTTTCCAGATGTTCTTGTTTCGGACAATGGTCCACAATTTGCATCAGCATTGTTTCTAGCTAAGAAGCGGGTCCGGCACGCTCTGACAGCCCCTTATCACCCGGCAGTGAATGGGCAAGCTGAAAGGGCCGTAAGGGCAGCCAAGGAGGTTTTAGGCAGACTCAAGGGAGAAGATTGGCACTCAAAATTAGCCACTTATTTACTATCACAACATATCACCCCTAGCTCAGTGACAAATCGTTCTCCAGCAGAGATGCTGATGGGAAGGAAGCTTAGGAATAATTTAGATAGGCTCCATCCAAGCTACTTTCCTTCAATTCCATTAGATTTTTTTAGCCAGGTGAGGTCATTCCAGGTAAACGACCCTGTGTATGCTAGGAATTTTTGAGGTAATCCCCTCTGGTTGCCCAGCCAAGTGGTGGCTGTCACAGGCCCCAGGTCTTATAAAATTGGGTTACAGGATGGCAGAATATGACGACGCCATATCGACCAGTTGAGAGGTCGTTGGGGCTCATCCCAGAGTAACTCAGAGGGGAACGAACAAACGGAATGTTTTGTGGGTATGACGCACTGGAGTACGAGACACCGATGAGTGATGCGCGTGCTGACATAAACTTACCTGATGAAGAGTTCTTGAGAGAGTCCGACTCATCTTCAGCGAGAAGTCCAGCGCCGCCACATCCGGAGTGTTTGGTGACAGCTGATCCATTCCAACCAGCTGCAAAGACTGAACTGCATAGGTCGGGGCGAGAGAGATGATGCCCTACCTATTTAAATGATTACACATGCTCCTAGCTGGGGGAAAGGAGTATTGTATTCTACAGAAGTTCTATTTGTTGGTCCGCATTTTGAGCGGGAATTTTTGTTTGTTCTGATTGGCTGAGCAGCCTGACAGGGAACTATAAAAGGGAGCTGTCAGACAGCATCAGCTGTTACCTGTCAGCTGGCCGATTCAGCAACATATCGGCAAACTAGGGTAACCTGTTTCTTTGTTACAATAAACATTGTTTCGTTCATCAATGCCTGCCTCAGCTCATTCTTAGAAAGAATATAATATAAAGCCTTAGTAAGACCACACCTGGAATACAGCATCCACTTTTGGTCACCACATTAGAAAAAGATGTTGAGACTTTGGGTGGGGGGGAGTGCAAAGAAGAGCAACTAAGATGATTAAAGGCCTGGAAACTAAAACATATGAAGAATGGTTACAGGATTTGGGTTTGGCTAGTTTAGAGAAAAGGACTAAGGGAGAAATGATAGCAGTATTCCAGTATTTGAGAGGCTGCCACAAAGAGCAAAGAGTCACTTTATTTTCTAAACCACTAAAGGACAGGACAAGAAACAATGGATGGAAACTAATCAAGGAGATAAGCAACCTGAAATTAAGGAGAAACTTCCTAATAGTGAGGATAATTAACCAGTGGAACAGCTTGCCTTCAGAGTTGTGTATGCTTCATCACTGGAGGTTTTTTAAGAAGAGACTGGACAGTCACTTGTCTGAAATGGTATGGGGTCTCCTGCTTGAGCAGGGGCCTGGACTAGAAGACTTCCAAAGTCTCTTCCAGCTCTATTCTGATTGATTGAAGTCGAATGACATCATTTTAGTCAGAGGTGGGATTCAAAAAAAAACCAGCAACTGGTTTGCTGCCCAGTTGCTGGATGGGCGTGGCCATGGTGGGCATGGCCTACCGGAACTTCTGGGAGAGCCGTTTTTCGCCTTCCTCAGGGTTTGGAGGCTTCCCTTGGGCTTCTGGTAGGATGAAAACAACCTCCCCCAGAGTCCAGAGGCCTTCCAGAAGCCGTAAACAGGCCTGTTTCTGGACTTCCAGAACTTCCAGGATGGTCATTTTTCACCTTCCCCAGGGTCCAGAAGCTTCCCTCAGGCCTCTGGGAGGATGAAAACGTCAAAGGTCCGGAGGCCCTCTGGAAGCCAAAAACAGGCCCGTTTCTGGACTTCAGGAAGGCCCATTTTTCGCCCTCCCAGAGCCTCCACACAGACCCTGCACTTACCTGCATCCAAAACAGGTTGCATTGGAGACTCCAGGGAGGGGTGGGGCGGGGTGGGAGGGGCCAGTCAGTCGGTTCAACTACCGGTTCGGCGAACCAGATGTAAATTTAACATCCAGTTCACTTGAACCGGTCCGAACTGGCTGAATCCCACCCCTGATTTTAGTGGACCAAAGCTATAAATTGATTAATATGGAATAATTATTAGCTACATATGGATATTTGAATATGCATGAAATTAATTCTATATATCAAATACATTGGTTTGAAGCATTCAATTAAGACAATAAACCATCTGCATTTTTATATTCATAGCTTTGATGACTTGCTGAAAAATTAAGCTAATAACATCAATGTTAAATTCTGGTTATATTTGGTATGGTAGAGGTATGCTTTTTCGTTCAAACGGTTTGATAAAATTTCAGAGATGAAACAACAAATTAACAGAATTTTTAAAAGAGAAGACATAAGTGGTTAGCGTCTGAAAACAGGAAAGTGTCATTAAAAGAAAGAAATCAGTCAGACATACAAGAAATGAAATGAATTAATTTGCGGCAATAATTGATTTTGGTTGTGCATCTTTTTAATGTTTAGTTACATTGTGAAATACCCTTGGCTTAAACGTCCCTATCATTATTTAGCGATTTAAATATTTAATATTTCAATTCATATTTGAAATTGTTTAATAATCTCAAATATTCTGAATGACTCTTCTTTTTGTCCTTGCTAGATGCATATACGATAGCAGAAGTAACCTACAAGTGGACGTTCAATGCATCAAAGTCAGTAGAAGTAGCTCCAGATGGTTCAAGGTTGAATCAGTATGATCTCTTAGGCCAAACAATTGGACAGGAAATTGCCAAATCCAGTACAGGTTAGTAGAAATAATGTACAGCGTTGATGAAGAATCCACTTTAATACTTGTACTTCTTTGTATTAACAATCAAGATACAATTTATTTCTTTTCCCTTTTTCTTAAAAAGCATGCAATACACTGTCAACTTGCCAGTTTAACTTAGAATATAGAACTTGATAAATAATAACATTGGAGAGGACTTTAGAGATGTTATACAGGTAGTCCTCAATGAATGACCATAATTGAGCACAATATTTCTGTTGCTGTGAGATGTTTGTTAAGCTAATTTTGCCCCATTTAGTGACCTTTCTCTTTACAGTTGTTAAGTGAATTACTGCTCTTTTTAAGTCAGTGTCAGGCTTGTTCCAGTTTAGGCATTTAGGAAAGAAAGATCCTCGACTCCATGGTTGAAGTGAAACGTTCACTTTTACTAAGTTCAAATGGTTATAGCATAAGCAAAGCTGGATCTGAATATTCCCACGCAAAGCCTGTGGTTTTCCCATCTCCCTGGCTCTCCCCCCATGACCAGTCCATCAGTGTCCAATAGTATTCAATTTTGGTGTTTGGGGAATGGCTTTGAGGTTTGGCACCTCTTGTGGTTGAGTTTCACATTCTGTTCCTGTTCTGGTGTGCCGGCAGCCTGCGGAGACGGCAACAGATTCGGACAGTGGGGAGGAACATTGGCCAGTCCGGGAATCTGGGAAGGACTCGGACGAGGGTCCTGCGTCCAATACAGAGATGGGACCAGTGCCATCTGGGAGTTATGTGCTGACTCCAGAGCCTCCAGAATCTGACAGCAGCGAGGCAGAGGAACAAGGGGAGCCTGTTCCCAGTGCATGCGTGCACAGAGCTGCCAGAAGGCAAGAACGTTAAGACAAAAGGGGTGACTTGGGAGTAAGGCTTGGAGGTGATTGGCCTTCCCATAAGATATAAAGGAGGAGCAAAGGGACAGGAACCTTTTCAGGAAGCAACTTTGTTCGCTCTGTTCGGATTAAACCTTGAAGCTCTGTGTGGACTTTGTATTCCATTTGGCTTTTTACAGTTAATTTGGCACTTTAGTTGTTGGCAGCAACTCAAAGGAGATAAAGGAGGGTGCTTATCTTGAGAGACTGGGACTCGTTACGGGCTGGGAATGAACATAATTCCCAGCCATTGAAATAAAAAGAGGGCTGTTTGAATTAAGCGTGTGATTAATTATGGTCTCAGGAAGCCTTGGTCAGAACAGTTCCCACGATTCTGTCCTTGATTGGCTGGTTCATTCTGGATTGACACCTCTGGTTCTTGTCATCCTGTCATTCCCTTCCTTCCTCTCTCTGCCCATTCCCTACTTCCCCATCTTCCTCTTCCCTCCCCTGAATTTTATGGCAGGATGCCAGTGAAGCAAGCTGTCAGGGTTCCAATTAATAAATCCATTGCAAGGAAGACTCCAAGGCCATTGAATTCCCCAAAGGTTACTTTTATTGGAAATATCATATTGACACACACCTGGTGAAAACCGACTCTGAAAACTCCCATGATTTTCACCTTATTAAAAGTAAAAGATTTCCTACTTTCTCAAAATAATCAGTCACATGGTCCAATCACCAGGCAGTCCGACAACCAGGTGTGAGAATGTCTTGGTTCTCAAGAAAAAGTACTTTGTTTTGGCTACAAAATCTCAAATCCTCCCTCCCTGACTCTCAGCTCCAGTGTGGCAACACTGAAGCAGATAAAATGGCTTCAATCAGAACAGCTTCAGGGTTGTCACAAGGTATGCTGAAGATAGCAGGTCTGGCATTCTTCCCCCCTTAGAAAAGACATCAGTCCTATGGGAGAAGGAGACAAAAAGAGATACAAACAGAGGGAGAGTTATTATTCAGTGGAGTTTGCCTGTGTACTTGCAGATAATTTTCGAGGCTCAGAGATGTTGGGCATCGAGCCACTCTGTCTCCGAGGGAGGGGGAAAATCTTTCCATTCAATGTAGTACTTTCTCTCTATGCTTGCAAGTGTCTAAGATTTGTTTAATTTCAAAATGTTGTTCCCCTTCAATTAGAATGGGGTTTGAAGATGGCTTCATTGTTGGGCATAAAGGAGAAGTGGTTGCTGTTTTTAAAACATGCTGCAGTGGACACACTGGATGGATGTAATTGAGAGATTTGGACAGATCTTATTGCGCGGTTACCGGGTTGATGACTTTATTAAATGAACTTAGGGACTAATTTTTTAGATGGTTATCTAGACTGGAGGTATTTGGTAGACAGATAAACATTGTTGTCTGTTAAAGGCTTTTGATTTGGAGTGCTTTTTAGCTGCTTGTTTTTTTATAAGTCTCTCGTGCTTCCTCGAGCATTTTGCAGACTACCAGCCAGGTCCTTTGAAGTTCTATAATCCGTTCCGCTAATGAGGTGGTTTGTGATTTGGCTTGGGGAAGTTGCCCATTGCAACTATGAAAGTTGTAAAACTAGCACTGATAATGTATAGCATTATTGTAGGTTACCTCTGTGAAAATAAGAAGGTTAGCCCAATTGTTTTGCTGGGAGTTAACGTAGCATCTCAGGTATTATTCTAAGACCCCATTCATGCGTTCACACAAACCATTCATCTGAGGTAATAGGAGGAGCTAAGCCCTTGAGTGGTGCCAAGCAATTTTAAGAACTCCTGCCAAAATTGTGAAGTGAATTGAATCCCGTGATCCAAAATGATTTGTTCTGGGGATCCATGGAGTCTATAGACACGTTGTACGAAAAGCTTGATAAGATATGTGCTGAGGGGATTTTGGAGTGAAGGATGAAGTATACTTGTTTGGCGAAAAGGTCAGTTACATTCAAATTATGGTATACCCTTAGCTTTCTGGAAGTTCCACTATATGGAAAATTCTTTCCGAGGTGCTTAAGGAGACTTGGGATATTTCCTAGATGACTTTTGGCTGATGAGCAGATATGGCAGGTAGCCACATAGGCTTCAATGTCCTATGGTCACCAGAATTGGCATTTCACTAGGTTTAGGGTTTTCACAGCCAAAATGTCCCACTGTTTTAGAATCATGGCTTCTCTGGAGGATTGTGATGCACTGATGTATATCTCTGGGATATGCAACTTGGCACCCACTCAGGCTAAGTGATCTCATGTGGTACACTCGGCTTTGTGGGTTTTAAACCATTAGCCTTTCTATAGCACCCCTTTTAATATTATTAGTAACTCATCTGGCACCTGCAGGTTAGCTTTTGCCAGCACTCTGGTGATTGCGCGGGATGCTAGCTGCTGGAAAGAGATGACTGGGTGAACAATTTAAACTTTGAAGTATTGTATTGGGGTAGACATTAAATTTCATCCCCAGGGCAGGGGGTCTGTGCTTTCTCCTCCACAGAGGGTTGGCCCAGGCAGGTGGTGGTGGCTGGGCTGGTACCAGTGGTGGCATTTGCTGTGGTGCTGGTGCCGGTGAAGGCTAGGTGGAGAATACTGCAGCTGCTTGGGTCAGAGGCAGTGCTGGGCAATCTTGAGCCCCCTGGGCCCAAATTATTGAAAGCGTCTCTCAAGAACTCGATCAAGGAGGAACTCGTTCAAGGAGAACTCGTTCAAGGAGGACATTGGGGTGGGTGGTGTTTCCAGTTCATTTCTTGCCACTCCACACTCCTCTGACCCCCCAGCAACCATTGGGGATTCGGTTGGTCATTGAAGGCCTCCACTTCTTCCAGCTCAGGGTAATCTCCATCACTTCAGGTCTGGAAGCAGCTTTTTTCCAAGCTTTCATCTCCTCCTGTTCATGTTTGTGAGTGGACATTTTATGCACGGTCCCCATGGTAGTGGTGTATCTCCAGGTAGACTGCTGCTGCAGATCCAGCTTAATGTCAGGCTTGTCCCAGCTTAGTCACTAAAGAAAGAAAGCCTCTCGACTCCATGATTAAATTGAAAGATTCACTTTTACTAAGTTCAAGCAGTTACAGTGTAAACAAAGCTGGATCTGAATATTCCCACATAAAGCCTAAGGATTTCCCATCTTCCTAGCCGTTCCCCCTTGATCAGTGTATTCCCCCTTGATCAATAGTATTTACCTTTGGTGTTTTGGGAATGGTATTTTGAAGTTTGTCACCTCTTTGGTTCAGTTTCGCCTTCCATTCTCATAATTCTGTCCTTAATTGGCCGGTTCATTCTGGATTAACTACACTGGTTCCTGTCACCCTGCCATTCCCTCCCTCCCTCTGCCCATTCCCTACTTTCCCATCTTCCTCCCTCCTCCCCTGCGTTTTATGGCAAGATACCAGCAAAATGAGCAATGCTAAAGATGGCGGACCTGACAGTTAAGTGAATCTGGCTTCCCCATTGACTTTGCTTGTCAAAAGGTTGCAAAATATGATCATATAACCCCAAGACACTACAACTGTCATAAATACATGACAGTTGCCAAGTGTGAAAAGAAGGGACTAGGGGGAGACATGATAGGAATGTTCCAATATTTGAGGGATGGCCACAAAGAAGAGGGAGTCAACCTAATTCTTCAAAGCACCTGAAGGCAAAGCAAGAAGCAATGGCTGGAAACTAATCAAGGAGAGAAACAACTTGGAACTAAGGAAAAATGTTCTGACAGTTAGAACAATTAATCACTGGAATGACTTGCCTCCAGGCTAGATGTTTTTAAGAAGAGGCTGGACAACCATTTGTCTGAAATGATATAGGGTTTCCTGCCTGAGCAGGGTGTTGGACTAGAAGACCTCCAAGGTCCCTTCCAATTCTGTTATTCTGTTCTGTTGGAGATACATTTAACTGGTTCTGTTAATATGTAATTTTTCAAAGTGGCTTATTCTGAGGAAGAATGGATAATTATTCTTTTGTTATTAATCTGGTCTCTTTTTTTCAGGTGAATACACAGTGATGACAGCTCATTTTCATTTGAAGAGGAAAATTGGTTATTTTGTGATTCAGACCTATCTTCCTTGCATCATGACAGTCATTCTGTCTCAGGTGTCATTCTGGTTGAACAGAGAATCTGTTCCTGCAAGGACAGTTTTTGGTATGTAGTCAGTAATAATTTATTATTTCATATGCTAACATAGAATGATGTATTATCCTTTTCCCCTGTTTTTCTTTTAATAATCTTTTGTATATGATTGAAATTCATGAATGTATACATGTCTGTCCAATGCTGTTTTAGGTTCAGTCTACTCTACAATTTTCCAGGAAGTTGGAACGAGAATTAAAATATGAAAGGGGTCATATTTAAACCCATTATTTTTGCCAAGATGGGAGGAATGTATGTATTAGTATAGTTGCCCCTCTCAAATCAGCAAACATTCATGAACAATTAAAACCATTAAAAACAGTACAAAAATTAATTAAATACAGATAACAGCCAAGAGATATTACACTCCATTGGTGTCAATGATTTGTAGAAAATGCATCTTTAACATATTCAGAACTCTAGGCCTGGCCATATAGCCAGGTCTTCATGGCCTTTGGAAAGGCCAGCAGGTTTAAGGCCATCCTACTCTCTAAAGCAGTGGTCGCCAACCAGTGGGCCATGGCCCACTGGTGGGCCTCAAGAAAATTTTAGTGGGCCGCAGAGAAATCTCACCCCCAGAGCACTCCGCCCCAAGGCAATTAATCCAGGCTGCGCAGAAACACAAGGCTGCGCTGCCCACGTGGCCTGCAGAAACCCTCCCCGCCCACTCACTCCTTAGCCGGTAAACTTGCCTGCTAAATTTCTATTTTTCCTTTTTCCGACCATCATCTGTTCTGCTGTGCCAGGAGGTTTAGATTAGCTAGGAAGCAGGAAATGGTTGGATTTCTTGCTTTCTAGCTAGTCTTTAGATCTTCGGCTCAGCACAGCCGAACCTCCCTTAGGACTGAAGGTTCTATTATTCAGTGCAGACTCATGGCAAGCAAATTTTATGTGACAGACTGAGCTAGCCGATGGCAGATAGATAGATCACTGAATGATTCTGTGAGCAACTCAATCTGCCTGCCTGCTTTGCCTGATTTTGGGTAAAAGTTGCTCTCTTTTTTTATAAAAAATTCAATATTTACATACACGGTGTGTTGTGAGTTAATTTTGTGAGTTTGCTTGCTAGCAAATTTTATGAGTTTGCTTGCAATCAAATTTTATGTGACAGACTGAGCTCGCCAATGGCAGATAGATAGATCTCTGAATGAATCTGTGATTCTGTGAGTCACATGACCACCAAGCCACACCCACAAATTAGGCCACACCCACAGAACCGGTTAGTGGTCCCTGGGATTTAAAATTATGAGTTTGGTGGTCCCTGAGGTCCAAAAGGTTGGCGACCCCTGCTCTAAAGGGAGACTGTTCTGGTAAGCAGGCGCTGTAGAGTACAAATAAAATAGCAGACAAAAACCCAATGTACATTTTATACAATGAGATGAAATCTACCAGGACACGAGTCTCCCATAATTTCATAGCTTTCAACCTTCTCATATTCCACAAAGTTAACTGTATCCGTAGGTTGGAACCTAGTGATTATAATTTTTTAAAAGTTGGTGTTGTTTTAAAATGGGCGTTGTTTTTTATACATTGGCATTTATTGGATTCTTTTTCTCAGCACTGCTGGTAGAGCCACCTAGAATTAACAGAACATAAGATGGGCAACTATATTAGTCTGATTCGTGAATCAATAAATAAAATAGTTTCATTTTAATGAAAATTTATTGAAGCAAAATTCTGTGCAAAAAGACATCTGTGTCATCTTATCTTAATGAAGAATTAATACAGTGCACTTCAGGAAAAAAAAAATTAAAAAAATGAGTCATGCATCTGGAATCTATATAGGACTTCCAATCCTTAACAGACAACACAATCCTATGTTGCTTAACTTATTCAATTAACTTAATAAATTTCTTCCCTTTTGCCAATTTTGATTTAAAATAATATGATATAAATTCTGGTTTACAAGTTTATAAGTTACGCTTATATTCATTCATTCATTCACTCATCTTATGTGCCAAAGATAGAATATGGAACACAGAACAATAGGGTTGAAAGGGACCTGGGAGATCTTCAACCTCAGGCTCAAGCAAGAACCTTATATCTTTCTGGACAAATGCGTGTTGAATGTCTTCTTGAAAACCTCCAATGATGGTTCACACACAATTTCCGTGGATAGGACAGGACTGGACTGGACTGGACTAGAACAGCATGGAATAGCATGGCATGGCATTATTGGCCAAGTGTGATTGGACGCACAAGGAATTGGTCTCCAGTGCATAAGCTCTCACTGTACATACAAACAACAAGGTAGTATAATCATAAGATACTAATAGGGAAAGTTAGTAAAAAAGATAAGGATATTAACAACAATAACAACAATGCAATAATAACAACAAGAATGCAATAATATGTAACAGTGATGCCCATTGCCTTCGGGGCACTTGGTACCATGTCCAAGAATTTTATAAAATACATCAACAAATTGCAGCTTCCTGCAATAACACCAGCGGAACTGCAAAAAAAACTTGTGCTACTCGAACATCGTACATCTTAAGAAGATACTTGGTTGATACCTAGGACGCTGGCAGTAACCCGTATCAACCATTAGCACCAGTCAGTGGTATTTGTGATGCATTTTTGAATGTTCAGTTGACTGAGTTTCATGTTTATTGAATAAAGTATATAACAACAAAACAGTACAGCCATACAACATGGAAAAATATCCTTAGACATAAGATAGTACACTGATAATTAGATGTTCAGCAGAGTAATGGCACAAGGTCTTTGTGTCTAGTTGTTTTGACATGCAATGCTGTATAGCAGCGTCTTGAGGGTAGAAGTTGAAACATTTTATGTCCAGGATGTGAGGGATGTATAGATATTTTCTCAGCCCTCTTTCTGACCCATGCAGTATACAGAGTGTCAATGAAAGGCAGTCTGGTTAGGGTTGTGTTTTTTTTTTTTTTGGTAGTTCTAACTATTTGTTGAAGTCTATACCTGTCCTGTTTGGTTATACCAAACCAGACAGTTATAGAAGTACAAGTGACAGACTCAATAATTTCTCTGTAGAACTGTATCAGCAGTACCTGGGGCAGTCTGAACTTTCTGAGTTGACGCAGAAAGAACATTCTTTGTTGTGCCTTTTTGATGATGATTCTAATGTTAGGTGTCCATTTCAAATCCTGGGAGATTATAGAACACAGAAACCTGAAGGTCTCTACTGTTGATACCGTGTTGCCTAATATTGTAAGAGGTGGTAGAATAGGAGGGCTCCTCCTAAAATCCACTTTCAACTCTACAGATTTAAGTATGTTCAGCTCCAGATTGTTTCAGCTGCACTAGAGGGCCAGTTGTTCAATCTCCCTTCTGTATGTAGACTCATCACTGCCTTGAATGAGACCAAAGACCATTGTATCTTCGATAAACCTTTCCACTGATTAATTGTTCTCGCTGTCAGGAAATTTCTCCTTAATTCTACATCGTATCTCTCTTTGATTATCTTTCAGCAATTATTTCTTGTCCTGTCCTCAAGTTCTTTGGAGACTAGGTTGACTTTTCTGTGAACGCCCTCAAGCATGGAAGATTGCTATCATTCACCTCTACTCCTTCTTTTTGTTAGACTAGGCATACTTAGTTTCTGCAACCGTTCATTGCACAGTTTAGCCTCCAGACCCTGTATCATCTTTGTTGCTCTTCTTTGCACTCTTTCTAGGGTCTCAACATCTTTTCTGTATCATGATGATCAGACGTGAATGCAGTTTTCCAAGCATGGTGTCATCAGTGCAGTATGAAGCATTATTATCACTTTATGTGATCTTGAAACTATCCCTTTGTTCATGCATCTTAGGATTGCATTAGCAACACACTGGTGGTTCATCCTTCAGTGGTGATGTCAGATCATTAGAGTGATGCTATCATTCAACTGGGGGAAGGGGGAACCTCGAATGTAATTCTTTTTATAGCTCTGACAACTGCTATTTTATAACCTTTATCCTGGCACCTAAGCACCCTGAGATTTTCTCACCTTTTGGGGAATGTACAAGGGGGGAGAGCCATGTGGGTTGTTTCACTCTGAAAGCCGAAGGAAGATGACCCGGGAATGCTTGCTTATCTGGTTTTCAGGATGGCCGTTACAATAACATCTCCACACATGTGGATTGGCTGAATCCACATTGGACTGGAGGGGAGGGGTTTCTAGTGTCTTATTTCTAACTGTATTGCTGAGTGGATTTAGAGTCTTCTTTGCCTTTGTTCTGCTATCACTTCTGCTCAATAAAAGATTCCTTTTGAAATACCAAGAGGTTTTATTTTCTTGAGTGAGAAGGAGAGGCAGGACCTTACAGGTGGTCTATTAGGACACATATATAGCTCTCTCAGTCACTACTGTTGAGTCGTTTTAGCTTCTCAAAAGCCGCCTGGCACTCCATGTACCATTCTAACAGTCGACTGGGCTTTGGGTTCGATTCTCCCTTAGTCTTAGGAGGTTTGTAATAAGTAACGCAATATTTGCAAAACGCTGGAATAAATTGGCGGTAAAAATTAGCAAATCATAGAAAACTCTGCAATTGTTTTCTGGTGCGAGGGGGAGCCCAATCCAAAACGGCAGTAACCCAAATAGTCAAATTTCTCTTGGTGAAATTCACACTTGGATAATTTTGCATACAGTTCAGCTGCTTGAAGTTTTTTCAAAACTGACCGCACCAATTTCACATGCTCCTCCAAAGCCTCTGTATAGATAAGGATATCGTCAAGGTAAGCCAACATCCTCTTGTATAAATGTTCATGCAGCACCTCATTTATCAGCTACATGAATAGACAGGGGCCCCTTGCAGGCCAAACAGGAGAATGTTGGAAACACCCCAAAGGGCAATTGAATGCAGTTTTCCATTCATCTCCCTCCTTAATTCGAACTCAGTAGTACGTTTCTTTCAAATCAAGTTCAGTGAAAAATTTTCCTTTGGCAAGGTGAGCCACCATGTCCTTCATAAAGGGAAGTGGGTACATGTTTTCTACACAAATTATGTTAAGGTTATGGTAGTCAACACATAAGCAAAGAGACCCATCTTTCT